CCCTTAAGCCCTAAACTCTAAACCCAAAGTCTCTGAGGTTTCTGAAGGCCCCAAACCCTAAACCCTAAACCCTAAACCCGAAGCCCTAAACTCTAAACCCTAAACCCTAAGCCCTAAACCCGAAGCCCCTAAAATGTCGGAGCCTCCTGCGGGCCGAACTCCAAGACGCGGCTGGCAGCCGCATCGGCCAGGCGCGGCATCAACGGGGGCGGTGCCGACGAGGATCTGGCTTTGGGATTAGGGTTTTTAGGGTTTAGAGTTTAGGGTTTAGGGTTTGGAGTTTAGGGTTTAGAGTTCGGAGTTTAGGGTTTAGGGTTTAGGGCCAGTTTAGGGTTTAAAGGGTTTAGGGTTGGGACTAGGACTTGTTTGTTTTTTAACCATTTGCCGTAGTAAAGCCTGCGAAATCAACTGCAACTCAACTAAACTTTGAAAGCACAGTTGCAACAAGCTAGCAACTCTAGCCCGACTATAAGTCCCAGGCGCCCAATCTTATACGAAAGAAAGCTACAGGTGGGAAGTTTTGGGTATATAGGGCTTCTATAAGGCTTCCATACGGTGTATAGACCTTCTATAAGGCTCCTATAACGGTAACTACCCAACTGAAAATGTCCTAGATTATAGTTCTCCGTGCCTCAGGGTTGGCCCATCCAAACCAGCAGCTGCAACCTCGTCTCGTCTCGTCAGTGTGTTACCCTGAAGCTTAACCGTTTGAAGGGTCCGCTTCTAAAGGTTGTAACAGGGGCCTTCATAAACGGAAGAGGGCTCCGGGATGTAGTCGACTATGCTTAGAAGTTTACCCCTAGGAGACTCAAGGAACGATAATATAGGGCCTAAATAGTTACCTCTACTATTTTGGGGGTTCCTTATTATAACTATAGTATCATGGGCCCCAAAACCCTATTCGAATTATTAAGGCCCCTACATTACCGGTAGCTGTTCGAGCTTCTATGTCGTAGGCGTTGCAGCTCAGGAGTCTTGGAAGGACTTCTTTGAGAAAAGTGTCCTTAGGTCCGATATTTGTATAACACCGTTGATGATATACTTCCTGCATGACCTTAAGGACCCTAAACTATGGCAATTATGGCATACTTTCTTGTTCTGGGTAATGCAGGACTTATATCATCAGTGCATGTCGGGTTTCGGGACCTGAAGCTTGCCGCCGAGCCGAACGCAAAGCCCCTCCAGAGCCCAAACCCCATGGGTCGCTCTCTAGATTAGGGTCCCTTTGAGGGTCCCGTTTATAAGGGTGCCGCACTGTACTGGGGCCCTAAAAGGGGACCCTAATTTAGAGAATTGCCCACCGTGTCCTGCAGCTCAAGCCAGGCCCTTGAGCTGCAGTAGCCCCTGAAAGCCCCTTTACCACGACATTCGGGTTTGGTCACTGAGTAACCATGGTATATAGAAACCCAACAAAGCATAGCTGCCTAGGTTACTTGACGGTGCTTTTTTTTGCGATTTCGGCATTTGAGGGACGTCAACGTTTGGACCGTTTGCGGACAAAAGAATACAAGACTTGGGCCTCAGCTGAGCGTGCTCAGCGAGGCACCAGCAGAGACTAGTTGAAGGTCATCAGTCTTTGGACCGGATCAAGGATTGATTTTCTTTAGGGCTCTTGGTTTAGATTCGGGTAAATAGGGTGGGTTTGATGTTTGGGGCTAACGGTAGGGTCCATGATTGAGGGTAAGTCTAGTCAGCTGGAACTCAATCCCCAAACCTGCGAAAGAGAAAAATGACTCGCGAAGCGACCGCCCACATGACTGCCGCCAGCTGGATGGCCTCCAGTGACCTGTCTTGCATTAAATGGTAATGTTTAAGCCCTTAACCACTCTCAGACGGCTATGGGATATATAGTTACAATGAATCTCTACACTTACGTGGGGAGTATAATACTCATTCAAGGCTCGGACCAGTGTTTCGGTGCTTAAATTTGGGGGGGTCTCGTGTTGCTTCTGTATGATCAGCCTGGGCATTTCGGAACTGAGGTATGCAATCCAGCAGCGGCACGCTTAGGGTCTTTGATTAAAGGAAACTACAGGTGGGAAGTTTAGGATATGTAGGGCTTCTATGAGGCTTCCATAAGGTATATAGACCTTCTATCAGGCTCCTATAACGGCAACTACCCACCTGAGAATGTCCTAGATTTGAGGGTCTAGGGTCCACCTAGCTACTATTACGCCCCAAATACCCGTTGTTAAGGACCATAAGCGCTCTGTTAGGTCGACGCGATCTAACGGCTCATGGTTGAGGCTCTTGGGCCTGAAGGCCACGCCATAATGTAGAGGTCGGGACACATTGACAGCACTATTCCCTGAGGCTTCTTCTGTTCTTTCTGAACTATAATACACCCCTATTGTGGGGGGTTCCTTATTAAAGCTAGAGTATTAATATACCCCCACAACCCCTATTCTAATTATTGAGGCCCCATCTACTCTTCGGCTTGGAGCCCTAAGGCCGGTGAGGGCTGATCCTTGTTTAGGGTTTATTAGGGTTTAGGGTTTAGGGTTTAGGGCTTAGGGTTTAGGGCTGAGGGCTTTGGGTTTAGGGTTTACGGCTTAGGGTTTAGGGTTTAGGGTTTAGGGCTTAGGGCTTCCTTAATGACAGGAAGATGTTGTGCCCTGGGCAGGTTGGGCTGAGACTGATGTAGGGACCTTAAAGATGATTGGAAGAGGGTGTTGGGGGCTCCTTATGATATTTATAGTATAATATTCCCATCACGACATATATATATATATATATGTAGGCCTTAATAATCAATTCGAACAGGGTTTTGGGGTACATTCTACTACAACTATAATAAGGAAACCCCAAAATAGTATAGGTAACTATTAAGGCCCCTATTAGATTTGCGAAGGGTTGAACAAATGTCGGAGGATCATGGGGCTTTGGGTTCTGGATGTCACTGGGGTTTACTGTAGGGTTTAGGGATCCAGGTTTAGGGTTTAGGGTTCAGGGTTTAGGGTTCAGGGTTCAGGGTTTTTGTCAGTTTGTACAAGAGGAGTACTCGCCGTATTGGCTAAGGTTTCTAGCAAAAATCCTGGCAAGACTATGGCTTTGAGCATACAGGCTCCTTTCAGGTGCTGGAGTTTCGAGGTTTGCTTAGGGTTTACGATAGGATCTCAAGTCTTGATGTTTAGGTTCTTCGGTCCACATTCCTAGGCTTCTTACAGGCTGTCCGGGTTTAGGGTTTTGTGTTATGAAGGAACATAGAATAGGGTTTTGGGGTACATTTTTAAGCAACCTCCCAAAATATAGGTAATTGTTAAGGCCCTTATAGTAGATCTGCGAAGGGAGGATCTTGGGCTGTGGGTTCGGTTTAGGGTTTAGGGTTTAGGGTTTAGGGTTTAGGGACTTTCTTATGCAGGGCTGTGAACCTCGAAGTGCCAGTATCTCAAAATCTTGAAGGCGCACGCATCCGTCAAGGATTCCAAGCTCAAACCCCTAGCCCTGGCCCTACTGTAGCGGCCTTCATGATTAGAATAGGGTTCTGGGGCCTATTATACTACTATAATTATAGTAAAGAACCCCCCTAAATGGCACCCAAGTAAAATAGGTATTCATTATACTATAATTATAGTAAGGAACCCCCGCAAATAATATAGGTAACTATTGAAGCCCCCTACATGGGTAGTTGTCAAAATTATGGTCCCTTTTGGGGTACCCTAAATAATAGGTGCCGTATTATAATAAGGACCCAAAAAGGGACCCTAATTTTGACAACCACCCACATGACACCCCTCAAGCAATCGAAGATCTTGCGGCGCCTCAGCCGTCGCTCCACGCAGAAGACGACGAGCTCTTGCGCCGCCTGGCTCGCGAGGCCTGAGAGACACAGGGGATGCGGCTGGAAAAAAAACCTAAACCCCTACATCCCTACACCCCTACACCCCTAAACCCTGAACCCTAAACCCTAAACCCTACACTGTTTGAAGGCGTTCAGAGTCTAGGGCTTGCAGGGGCTAATGATCAGGATTTACCCTAAACCCTAAACCTGAACCCTACCCTAAACCCTAATCCTAAACCCTAAGTTCCAGGTCTTTGGGCAAAAGTAAGGATTCCGGGTTCAGGGTTTAGGGATAGGGATTAGGGTTTAGGGTTTAGGGTTTAGGGATTAGGCTTTAGGGATAGGGTTTCAGGTTGGAGGTTTAAGGCGTGCCACAAAAGTCGTGTCTACATCGGCAGTTGGAAGCCTGCAGGTCCCGCGGCCGGGCTTCGGATGTAGGCGTTTCTATTTTGGAGATGTCCAAAATTTCGGTTTAGGGTTTAGGGTTTAGGGTTTAGGGTTTAGGGTCTTGACTGGCTCGTGTACCTGGAGCAGCTTGAGCCTAGTATGTCGGATCTTTTTCAGGGCCACATGCCCATGATGTAGGGGCCTGAATAATTAGAATAGGGTCTTGGGGCCCGCTCTACTATAATTATACTAAGGAACCCCCAAAATAGTATAGATAATCATTGAGGCCCTAAATCCTAAACCCTGAACTCTGAACCCTGAACCCTGAACCCTAAACCCTAAGCCCCTGTATTAAGGGTCATACACTGGGTTTGGACAGGCGTGCGGCTTCAGGGCGTGTTGTTGGCGAGTGGATGGCGAAGGGCTCAGGCTTTTAGGGCTTACGGGTTTAGGGTTTAGTGTGTAGGGTTTAGGGGTGTAGGGGTTTAGGGTTTAGGATTTAGGGTTTAGGCTTTAGGGTTTAGGGTCGAAGGCTGCACTTTGAGCATTCACCGGCCTTCAAGCCCAATTAAACTCCAACTCCATGACACATCATCCGAATCCCTATGACAAGGGCCATGTACTTGTACAGTATATATTTTGGATTGGACAAAGTATATACGATGCAGGTACGTGGACATGTTATATACATGGACCCTAGAAGAAACATACAATCCATCCTGTAAGCCCAAATGCAGCCCCATAGAACCCTTGAAGGAGACCTGTATGGTGTCCATAGCTATACATAGATGGATCCCTACGGACTTGCCGACCTCTGAAATCTCCCTTTAAGAAATTGGGAAACTATGGTGCTGAGGGTTTGGGCACCCGAAAACGGTGTAGGGATCTTACGAGATCAGCAGATCTGCATGTCTGACAAACCGAACGACCCCAAACCCTAAATTGCAAAGCCAATTACAGCCCTAAACCCTAAACCCTAAACCCTAAAGACCTATAGAAGCCCCGTGTCGCATCCACGAATCCGCGAAGAAGCAAACTCACAGTAAGACGAAGGTTTAAGCGGCCCGAGCCGTCCCAAATCCTCTCAGGGTTTAGGGTTTAGGGTTTAGGGTTTAGGGTTTAGGGTAAAAAATCCTCTCCCCTTTCCAGCCTGAGCCGCAGGTGGCTAGGGCCCAGATGCCTGAGGCTGCGGTACCGGCTGCAAAATCCAACTGAGGTGTGGTAGTGTATTTCAGGGTCTATGATGTGGGCGTGACATGTTTGGCAAAAACGGAACTGGCCACTGACCCCCGCAATCCTAGTTTGCCGGGGCTTGTTCTCGACCGGGATCCCTTTCGAAGGGTCTTCTCCTCCAGCAAAACTCATAAGGTTGAGGGTTGAGGGTTTAGTGCTTCAGTGATTTTGTAGGCGCCGGAAAAGATTTCCAGCAAATCGTTGCCGTAGCTAACCGCCCGTCCCAACACTAAACTCGCCCTAGACCCCCCATACACGCTATTTACATTTAGGTTATCATGCCAGTTCTGGGGTTTAGGATCTAATTTTCAAGGTCCTTAGAGCATATAAACACACAAACATAGTGTCATTATCTAAACATAAAAACATGGTATGCCTATATATTTTTTTCGAAAGGTAGCCGAGTGGCTGTTCGCCAGCTCTTGGCTGCGGAAAATCTCCGGGCTGGCGAGGCCTTTGGCCACCAAAGTGGGCATCAGATTGGCCTCTCGGTCTCGTGCTGTCGGGGAAGGTTAGGGCTTGAGGTTTTAGGCTTTGGGGTGCTTCTTGTTTTCTCTAAATATTAGGATTTGGGGTTCTTCTTTTTTTCTCTAAGGGTTTAGGGTTTAGGGTTTTTTGGGGGCTTTAGGGTTTGGGGTTCAGGGTTGAGGCTTCAGGCTTCTGGCTTGGACGGAAGACCCTCGAAAAAGCTGAGCAAGAAACTTTCTATCTTACCCTAAGGGTCCATGTTCCCAAATAGTAGATACTTTGGCCTTAAAGTAGTCCCTATTTGGGTAGTTTGGGGTCAAAGTATCTACTATTTCGGTACATGGACTCTTAGGGTCACTACCAAGGGTACTTTGGCGGCGTGTGGGGCTTTCTGTGCTGCTTCTAGGATTTCGGCTATATTCTGGACTACAGCCCTAAACCCTAAACCCTAAACCCTAGACCCTAAACCTTAAACCAGTGTGTGTTCTTGCGGTCAGCCAGTCACAACGAGATCAGCCCAAACCTGAGCAGCTGGGGAGTATGGCTCTAGGCCCACAGGCCCCGCAGTAGTTCCTTTTTGGGGTTCCCTATAAGGTAATCCCAAAAAGGAACTACTATGGGGCGTATGGGTAGACCCTGCCCAAACAAGCTAATCGAGGGGCCGTAATAATTAGAATAGGGCTTTGGGGGGGGGGGAGGGGGGGGTCCTGTCAAAGGTTCCTTAAAGGGTTCTATCAGGGCTACTATAAGGGTTTAGGATATAGAAGCCTTAATAATTGGAATAGGGCTCTGAGGCCCTGAGGCCCAGTATACTGTAATGAGAATAAGGAACAGCCCAAAAAATAGTAGTTGGTAATGATTTAGGCCCCTACTCCAAGCCCAAGCACTGCTCAGCTGTTGCTGTGTTCCCAAACGGTCCTAGGTACTGTTATGGAGGTTACTTTCCCAAATCATACTGCCAAGTCCTAATATAGAAACCCTACATTCTATACTATATAGGTACCCTAAACCCTAAACCCTAAACCCTAAACCCTAAACCCTAAACCCTAAACCCTACCCTTTGGGGTTTCCGGATCTATCACGAGCACTCATTCAGCGTATCGCTTCCATGCGAGGAGGGAGGCCAATAGAAGCCGAAAGCTTTAGGGTTTAGGGTTTAGGGTTTAGGGTTTAGGGTTTAGGGGTTTAGGGTTTAGGGTTTAGGGTTTAGGGTTTAGGGTTTAGGGTTTAGGGTACATCCTGAAGCTTCAGACGAGGCCCAGCTAATTTAGAGGCCTAAATAAATACCAATGGGTAATTCTCTAAATTAGGATCCCTTTTTGGGCCCCCAATATAGTACACTTATAATACGGCTGATGGACACAATCCTGCATGAGCCTATGTACCTAAACTATGGGATTTCTGGTGCTATACTATATTTGGGTCATGCAGGATTTTGTCCATCAACAGTATGGACCCTAATTTAGAAAACTACCAATACTATTTTGGTGGGTTCCTTTTGAAAAAAATATAATATAATGGGCCCCAATACCCTATTCCAAGTATTGAGGCCCCTCTTTTGTACAACATGGCATGCAAGGACCCCTACGAGTTCCAGAGACTGCTTGCATTGAGACAAGTTACCAAACCGTAGAAGTCCTGGATTTATGACATCCCCGAATCCCAGTGGGACCAGGCTATGTGCGACCGGAGAGTGAAGGCAGAGCCTGGGGTTTTCATGTGCCAGGCACAAGAAAATGTGGGCTGTGTAAGGCCAGGAAGGGTTTAGGGTTTAGGGTTTGGCCTGCAGAACTTCAGGTTTAGGGAGATGGTACTAGAATTCGAACCTGAAGCCCTACAGCCTGCAACCATAAGCGCCCTCGCAGTTACATTCCGCCCGACATCATACAGGAATGATCTCGAAAAATGCTGAACCTGAAAAAAAATCACCCCGGATCGGGGCGCTCAAATCACCTTTCCAGACCCGATGTGATACTCAGGTCTTGAAATGGCTCTGTCTGCATACCCCAAATCTCACAAGACGCCCTGATTGTTCGCAACTCCTAGATTAACCCTGCACCAATCCCCTAAACCCGAAAAAAACGCCCTAAGGGGCCTGCCTTTCTTCTTGTGACTGCCTGAAGCCCCAAACATAGGTGAAAGAATGGCCCAACACCTAGAAAGGCAATCAAAGAACGTGCTCTTCGGGATCCAGGTAGTCACCATCTAATAATTAGAACAGGGTTTTGGGGCCCATTCTACTACAATTATAATAAGGAACCCACCCCACACTAGTATGGGAAATTACTTAGGCCCCTATATTAAAGCAGCTTTGCGGGAACCCTCAACCCTAAACCCCTAAATCCCTAGATCCCTAAACCCTAAACCCCTAAACCCTAAATCCCTAAAGCCTGAATCCCTAAAGCCTAAACCCTAAAGAAAGGCCTGCGCTGGCAAATCGAAATCAAGGGCAGCCATGGCCCACCTGACTCTAGGGTTTAGCGTTTATAGGGTTTAGGGTTTAGGGTTTAGACTTTAGGGTTTAGCGTTTAGGGTTTAGGGTTAGGGTTTAGGGTTCGGGGCGTCGGTTTAGGGTTTGAGAGAGTTCCGGGGTTTAGGGTGGGTCTAGGGTTGTTGGGGGTCCTGGTGTTCAGGCTTTGGGGTTCTGCGGTTTGGAGTTGCTCTTGTTGCTTGCGGTTGCTAATATTTTCGCTGTGTCTGTGCTTATCTGCATGTGTGAGTATATGTGTGTGTGTGTGTGTGCGCTGCTTCGGGGTGGACTTCTCAATTCCGCGGCCGATAGGTTCTGGAGCAACGGGTTCAAGGGTTGCAGGTTCAAGGTTTGGCGCTTTTGAGTTTCAAGGTGCTCAGCGAGTGCCGAGCCAAAGCCCTCAAGCGAAGTAGCTTTCAAATGGTTTGGGGATCTAGTGCACACTGGCTATAGACAAAAGGAAGCCTAGAATGAGGAATAGTATTACGTACTCCTGATACAGACCCCGATGTTGGGCTCTGTGGTAATCCCAACAAAACCTCGAAAGGTCAATCCTTCCCCCCGAGTTTTCGTCAGAACTACCGACAAAGCTTCAAGGCCTCGAACCTGCTACAGGTTGCAGCTGTCGAGTCTTCGAGTTCCCGGTTGATGCCTAAACCCTAGACCCTAGACCCTAAAATCTAGAGACGTCGAAGCAACACGGCGTGCTTAGGGCTTAGGGCACTGCTAACCCAAAGGGTCCATATACACGACTATTATAAAGCTATAGGTCCCAAAAGACCATCCTTATTATGGTTTCGGGCGCCTAATTGTATATGCATAGTTCTCTAAATTAGGGTCCCTTTCTAATTACTTAGACTAGATAAATTTGAGGAAGTTCAAGAATGGATGGTTTCAGCCATGAACGTTTCAACTTTTGGAGCTGTCGAACATCAGTCAGAACACCGGCAAGGTGGTCTGTCTGGTGCTTAGTAGGGAATGGGGGAATGGGCTATCGGGACTACTATAAGGGATCTTAAGGGACTATCATAGGGATCCATTCCTCCATTCCCTACGAAGCACCAGACAATAGTTCAGAGTTCCTGGATTTTTTGGAGTTTCGGTGAGGTTTGACTGCAACGGGCCGATAGGACGACAGGACCTTGTAGGTTGGCCATTGAAAGCATGTCAACCCCTTGAGGATTTAGATCGAAGGCTGTTGAGCTTCCCAAGTTGCAGCCCACAAAAACCCAGGCCCTGCACTCCACACCTCCAGTCCTGAAACCGTCAGCCAACAGATGCCAGCCCTAGACCCTAAACCCCTAAACCCTAAACCCTAAACCCCGAAACCCTGGTCCCTGAACCCTAAACCCTAAACCCCTAAACCCTAAACCCTGATCCCAAACTCTAAACCCTGATCCCTAAACCCTAAACCCTAAGCCCTAAGGTCAAGGAACAATCCGTTGCTGATGTCTTGTGGTTTCAGCCGTCGCCTGAGCCCCTGCCAGGATCGGAACTGGAGGCCCTGCGTCTGCACCCTGAAAGCTCAGTTGATAGCAGGTTCAAGAAGTTCAAGTGTGATACTATATAATCATATAGGGGCCTTCATAATTTGAACAGGGTTTGGAGCCCATTATGCTATGATTACAATAAGGACCCCCCCCCTCCAAAAAAAAATAGTAGTTCTTTTTGTAATTATTTATGCCCCTACAGTAGGGTTGCTGAGATTCGGGGTTCAGGAATACTTTTCCATGGTCACCTTGGACATGGCAGCGGCAACCCACTTTGGTAGGTGACAGGCTTCCGAAGTGTAACTCGTAAGGCCGTAGGGCGCGGAGCACAAGAGGAGACGGCGAAAGGAAGTCATCATCCAAAGAAAGAGAGGCGGAAGAGTGCTAGCAGCAGCAGCAGCAGCAGCAGCGGCGGCGGCAGCAGCAGTAAACATGATAATACTGCTGTCGAAATGATTGTGGTGCTGGCAGTCGATGAAAAAACGAGTAACAACAAGAATTATCAATGGTCGTACTAGCAACTGGGCGTGGCATCTTGGTCAGTCGTACTGACAGCAGCTGGTCATTCCGCTTGCCCGACATGCTTTCCACACCACAAACCTATGTTCTCAAATCCCACACCTGAAACTGAGTACAGAGCTCTAAAACACCAGCTCGAGATCAGCCCTAAAGCACAAGGTGAGCCCTAAACCCTAAACCCTAAACCAGTAAGGGATTAGGGTGTGGGAACCGTTTGAGGCCTTGTCGGAAGATTGGCTCGCAAGCTCAGCTGCTACCTCCGGTGGTCAAGCAAGAGGCTAGTGGCTTCTGATTCCTAGAGTCCATGAACCCTAAACCCTGAACCCTAAACCCCAAACCCTAAACCCTGAACCCTAAACCCTAAACCCCAAACCCTAAACCCGAAACCGTGGATGGTTGAGCATCTAGGGGTCTCAGTTCTAAGAATCCAAGATTCAGGGGTTTACCCTAAACCCTAAACCCTGAACCCTTAACCCTAAACCCTTAACCCTAAACCCTAAACCCTAAACCATAAACCCAGGATTTAATTGCCGGGGGGTCTCGAGTTCGGGAGCTAGGAGGAAGAAGATCTCTGCCGGGGGAAGGGTAAAGATCCATCAGCCTGGCAGCCCAGAATGTCCCTAAACCCACTTTAGGCTTCAATGTTCCGGCTTCAGAGATCTTCCCGAACCCCGATCCACAAGCCCTCGACCATTGAAGTTCAAAATTCAGAACAAGGGCGGGCGCCCCAAACCTTGGTGACAACCCGACATCTTCTTGAGGGTGGGCCAGGCGACGTTACGTCATCTGCAATGAAAGTGGCTGGAGGCCGGAGAAATGCCAAGGCATGGCAACACGTGTTCCAGGATACCCACCCTTTCCAGGTTACCCATGGGTGAACAAACATGAAAAGGTAGAGGCTTTCTTCAAACACGTGGGCAAGGCCACGTTTTTTGGTGGTTTAGGCGGGACCTTGATTCTCGCATCTATAGGATACATGCATGTTATGATGCCTTGTAACCCGAAGCCTGACCCAAACCGCAGAATTCTCATCCCAGGTGCCTCTGAACCCTACTACGCCGAACCCATACCCAAGCCCCTGCCTTGTTCGCCAGCTCCGGGGGCATGCTGTGCACGGCCACATTTCGAAGTCGCGCCAGAGCCCACAAGGTGTTCCTGAAGTCGACTTCTTAAGCCAGCGATGAGGGTGTGGAAACCACGCACAAGTTTATTGTGATCATCATTATAAACTACTATTTCTATTTGTACTGTTTTTCTTCAGATTAGTATTACGGTTCTTGCTATGGACGTGCTATGAGGCTCCCCGGAAGTTAGACGGCTCCAACCCTGTTGACTGAGCCCCAAAACCCAATGTTACCTCTATGAACAAGGCAGGATACTTGGTCAGACCATCCGCTTGACAGCGCCTGTATGGGAGTTTCCGACAACAAGGTGCTTATAATGAAGACGCTACTATTTAGGGAACTATATGAGGTCACCAATTTTCGGACCCACCCTATTACAATATGGTACAGATAAGACAATCCGCGAAAGATCCTAGAAGCCGTACCATTATACCCTTTAAGTGGCCAAGGAGCGACAACTGCCTGGCATCCAGCTCTCCTAGCGTTCAGGGATCGGTTGGAGCGTTACGGGGCTTTTGGGGATGTTGAGGATGTACTTTCAACCCCCTAAACCCTTGAACCCTGACCCCTAAATCCTAAACCCTAAACCCTAAACCCTAAACCCTATACCCTTGAACCCTATTAACCCCTAAACCCTAAACCCCTAAACCCCAAACGTTCGAACCTAAGCGCAACATCAAGGATTACCCCGAAGCGGTACGCCATGAAGGTATCATGCCGAAGATCTTTTCAGGGTTTAGGGTTTTGTGGCGTTTAGGGGTTTAGAGGTTTAGGGTTTAGGGTTTCGGGTTTAGGGTACAGGGTTTAGGGGTTTAGGGTAGTTGGGTTTAGGGTACCTATATCCCCAAGCCCTGCACCCTGAAAGCCGTAACTCGGCCCGGTTTGGGTGAGACGGATGCAAATCCAATGCCAGGGCTTGGAGCCCGCCTTCTGCAGATGCTTTTTTGGGTGGTTAACTGTTTTCGCCTTATCTAGCATTCAATTTTGCTTGTGAAAAATTATATATAATTTGGGTGCGTATATATATATATATACACAAAATTTTGTTTGACATAGGGCTTATCCCTAAGTTGATGGCACAGGTTTTCGGATTGCTTGCAAACCGCTCCCATCAGTCCCGAGGCTGCGAAACCTGAGTTTACTAAGTGCCTATAGGGTATCGGGTTTAGGGTTAGGGTATAGGGTTTGGGGCTTAGGGCTTCGGGTTTAGGGCTCAGGGTTTAGGGTATCGGGTTTAGGGTTTTCGGCAAGAAGGAATCATACAGAGAGACCCCGAACACCCAATCTGAGGGCCGTCGAAAGGTAGGTAGACGCGTAAGACAAGATGATATAAGCACGAAGTTATACGTATTTTGTATGAAGTTATGTGTATGCTGGATGAAGTTATATGTATGTAATGCAAGACAACTGAGAGAGTATGATATCATGCACAATTTCTTTGGTGAGCTGGGCGAAAGCCCTGCAACTCGTGGGATCCAAGCTCCTGGCCCCCTTCAATGGGTCAGAGCCTAAGCTCCCAAACCCCCCGACATACGAAACAAACACACTGAAAAGCTTCAACCCTGCACCAAAAACCTGAAACCCTAACCCCTAAGCCCTAAAC